CCTTTCTGCAGAAAGCATATCTCTGCCCATACTTTTTGGGTAATGAAAAGTCTTATAATCTAATATTATATACAGCTGCACATCACTCAAAGCAATTTGGAAAAGTTATAAAAGGAGTACTTATACAACATTTTGAAGCTGCTAATTCACTACTCACCATTTGCTCATTACTAGTTCACTCAGAAAGAAATACACGCTTGATTCATCAAAGATCTCAAAAAGATCTTATTCATTTGATCTCTCATAAAACTGTATAGTTTTTGTTGTTGTACTTAATCTTTAAGTGTAAACATCACAGTTGTGATACAACTTATTAGAAGCATTTAAACACTTGTTAGTTTACATTAATTTGTAATAAGTTCCTTAAGAAGACCAAGGTGTGGTCAGTAGTTCTTGAGAAGACTAAGACAGTTGTTCTTAGTGCTTTCTATTGTAATCAGTTGATCAATAGTGGATTAAGTCCTTGTGGAGAAAGGCAAATCATCTTTGATAAGGTGGACTGGAGTAGTTGAGTTCAACGAACCAGGATAAAAATCTTGAGTTGTTTTTATTGCCATATTTCTTAAAACTCTTATTCAACCCCCCCTTCTAATTGTTTTTCTCACCTTCATTAAGGGCTTGTTTGGTATTTTGGAAAAAGGGGATTAAGAGAAAGAACACGCACGGTGAAGAAAAGCACGTTTGAGTAGAAGCAAGAGGGTGCAAGCTTGAGCAAGAGAAGGAAGAGGATCAAGCTGCTGAATTTCGTGGATTTTTCATCATCAAACTACTTATTGAGGTAATTGGGGGATTGATCGGTTAAATTGGTATATACATGAGTAATTGGTAGAAAGGGGAAATTCCCTAATTCCCATGAATGATGATGAAATGATGTTGATTGCATGTTTATGTTGTTGTTGTTGTTATTATGTTGAATTGTGTTAAATTCGTTGCATGTGGTTGTGGGCAATTGTATGAGTGTTTGGGGTTTTCGAGTAATTCGAATGTTTATGCCGGAAGTTGATTGATCGAGTAGAAATGAGGGTTTATCGGGTAAAACCGAGTTTAGGAGTTGTAGTGGAGTTGTAGAATGGTTAGCCGATGATTTTGGCGTGGTTTGGTGAGAACCCGATGAATGGGGAGCTGCTGGTGCATTTCTGCACAGCAGAATTTTTCAGAATTCGCAGACATTCACTAGCCCATCGCTAGGCGGATGCATAGCGAGCACTCGCTAGGAGATTGCGTAGCGAGCGTGTAGCGAGCAATAACAGTAGCTAATTTCTTGTGTTCGCTAGCTCATTCTCTAGGCAAACGTGCAGTGAGCGTTCGCTGGGAGCTCACGTAGCGAGCAGGTAGCGAACGTAGCAGGTTTTGGTTTTTGAGAGCTGTGTACAGCTGTTGGCGCTGAGTGTGATCGGTTTGATGTGCTGTGATGATATTTGAGTGCTGAGAGTATGTTGAGGGTTATGAGGGCTTTGTGGCCGGCGTTTATCGCATTGGACAAAATCGGGGAATTATGTGATATGTAAAGATGTGTATGTGTTATATGTGATATATGATGGATCTGTAGGATCGATACACCTGTGCGTGTTGTGTTCATATGCTGTGTGAGGGATGGATCGGTAGGATCGAATTGCACCTTGTATGCTAGACGTGTATGTGATGTGTGATATATGTATGTATGATGCATGATGAGATGTGGTCAGGGGACCGTGTATGATGTTTGTGTGTGATTGTTGTGGTGTGCGTGCATTGGGGTTATGCATGGTGTGTTGTGTTGTTGTGCTCCCTGTGTGGAGGGTGATGGCCCAGTGACCATCGGAGATGTGCTCCTTGTGAGGAGGGTGATGGCCATGTGTCCATCGATATTGTTGTTGTGCTCCATGTGTGGAGGATTGATGGCCCAGTGCCCATCGGTGATGTGTGCTCCTTTGTGGAGGGTTGATGGCCCGGTGCCCATCGTTGTTGTGAGTCGGTACCACATATCGCTGTGTGAGTGGTATGTGTTGCATTGTTGTGTGTAGTGATTGTTGATGGTGGGACAGTAGGTCTGAATGTGATGTATATGAAATGACGTTTTATATGTTTCTGCCTTTATTTCATGTACATTTATACCGTTAATATTTGATCGTGAATTCTCACCCCTTTGTTGTTGTAGTGGTCTGTGCTTCTTCGGAAGTACAGACAATCCAGGTGTATAGCGAGCTTGGATTGTGGTGGTGTCATAGGATTGCTCTGATACGTAACACTGGGGATTTTTGGAAATATTTATGGTTTATTGATGATTATGTGTGCCCCCATGGCGTATCTTATTTTGTGGGATTAGTAATGATGTTTGATGGATGTATATTTTGCGCAGTGGCCGTACATGATGTATATGATGATGTTGATTGACGACGACGATGTATATATGTTATGTGTTATGACAGACTACTTCTGTTTCCGCTGAAAATTTTATTGGAAATCAGTTTTTTTTTAAATGATTTGTGGAATTTTGTTGAGGAATGTGACATCCCGTTGTGGGAGAAACTCTGATAATTGTTTATTTTAATTGTTTTATTTTATTTTTGGGAAACGGGGTGTTACATAAATAGTCATAGTATGTATCATTACTTGTAATAATTCATTTAATAAATCCTTATTTCCTTATTCTCTCTCTTTCTCTCCTCACAAAAGGTGCTTCACGCACTAACAAGCCCTACGTGTCATGCCAAATGTATATTTTTTTCCAGACGTGTAAAATTTAATTGCCACGTCCCTAAAAATTGAAGTCATTGAACACCTTCACTGCCACTTGGTGGTTCTGAATCTGAATTCTAAGTCTTGGGCCTACTACGACCTATGTGTCTGTTAGCCATAACCCTAAACATAATACAAATAAAATTAAATTGATCAGGCTCAATACTATAAATATGATATCAAGAACAATGATGAACATACACATATGAGGCAGAAAGAATAACTCATAATATTGAACGGCTAGGTCGAGGATTCGACCTACTGTGATACCAATTGTAACACCCATATATAATACATGTCTAGAAATACATATTATACATAGTTGTAATGTTGGTACTAAAATACATAAATGCATAGTGGCAATATTGTACATATTACATTTCCAAAAAGAGCTACAACTATCGCATAATGTATATGAGGGTGCCCAAAATAAAACTAAGAAGTGGATCATTATAGAATGATCTCAAAAGATATATCTACACAATGAAAACTACCATCCAAAACATCAAACAAGCAAGGACATCAAGTTATCTTGTCCTTACCATTCACTTGCTCAGAACTATAAGAAAATAATCAAAAAAATATGGGGTGAGATAATAATCTCAGTGGGTTCCCTATCTTATGGGTCCACTCGGCTCTACAAGGTTCTAATTAGTATCCTAACTCAAGTCACAAAAGGGAAAAAGACTTTAGTTCATAAAATTTGCAATGTATGAAAACATATGCATATCTCTTGAGTTCATCAACTCAAACAATCACTAATTGGAACCATATCAAGGTATCTTTCCTCGGCCAACGTTACATCTATGATTCTCGACACAGGTCACGAATCCTTGTATCATACTTTGACATACGCATAAACTTCATATTCTAAGTGATAACATCTACTTCAAGAATCGTCGCTTCGTATGAGACTCGAAACCTATTTCAAGCTTTTTACTTGTATAGGACTCATCCTACTTAGGGATTCATCACCTTTGGTATTCAAACCCAGGTCATTCAAGTATCGGCATGTACAACACAATTCTTAATCTATATAAGCAACTCAACTTAGGACGACACAATCAAGGGGTTATTTTCGGCTACGTGATTAAAAAAAGCACAATGTGATTGTATTCGACAACCACAAGGCGATCACATTCACAACAGTAACACATGTTCCATATAATGCCTAGTATTCTTAGTTAAACAACTACTTGTCTATGACACACACCTAGATATCATTTTACACAAGCATTGCCATACAAGTCATTCATCATACCCTAATTATCTTTCTAATTCATTCAATTAGTTTGCTCCTAGGGTTTCCTCACCAATCCGTATGAATTTTCAATCATATTATCACATTCATACATCAATTAAGTTATGACGTATTCATCATGCTATCATATGGGAAATATAGGTGAATCAATTATAACTCCATAGCCACACATTATAGGACAAGTTACATGCCTCTTAGGATAGCTTAGGAATCATAAAAAACATGATTTTTGCAAAAACCAAAGGATATAAACGATTGCACAAAGACCATCATCGATTGGATCAATGTCCAAAACTTTCTGCTTCTGATTTTGAAAAGAATAATCGATTGTCAAAACAGTGCAATTGATTGCACTGCCCTGATTTATGATTTTTCATCTTTTTTAAAAGGGTGCAATTGGTTGTAAGACAGTGACAATCGATTGTCACTGTAAGTTTTTTCAAAAATACCAATTCAGACATGTTTCCTTCCATTCCTAGCCATACCCAAACATCCACAACAACAACCATTCATAGATTACAAGTCTCACATGGTATAATGGAAGAAAGCATAACAACATGTCAAGAATAATCGATTTCTATCCTATGTTTCTACAAGTCCTAACTTCTACAATCACAAAGTTTCTTCCTAGAACCCACTTTGATAATGACATGAAGAAGTTGTTGAGAAATGATGAGATGAAATGTCCTTTTTTATTCCAATTAATAAAAGGTCATTCTCAATTATTATTAATTAAGCCAACCTGAACTCACTAGTTACTCTAATTATTCAAACTGATAACTCTCATAGCACATAGAAACTCAGTTGATCTCAACTAATATGAAATTGAGTATTTAAAAAAACACGGGGTATTACACTGCCGTTTCAAATTTAATATATTATATAGATATATTTGCTTTAAAATATTTATGTGAAAGAAAACATGATTTCTCCTAAGAGATTCATGTTTTTAATTATAATATGATATTTTTAATAACATATAATAAAATTCACACATTATCACCTTACAATAATTAAGTGTTTATGTTTCCATTTTACGTATAATAATTTGAGCACCATATTGTGGTTGAAGAGTAACCAAAGTGGATGGAGCATGAGCATAGGTTGGTGAAAGTTCAAATGAGAAATATTGCAAAATCATTGTAATTGCCATCTTTGCTTCCAATAGGGAAAAATTTTGTCCGATGCAAATTCTAGGACCCCATCCAAATGGAAAAAATGAAACTCTACCATTTGTTGCTTTTGAAATTCCTCCAGAAAATCTCTCAGGATTGAAATCCTTAGCATCCTCACCCCAAAGTTCGCAATCATGGTGAAGCAAAAGAATTGGTAAGAAAACTTCCACTCCAGCGGGTAATATTAGGTTTCCAAGCTTCACATCTTTCTCAATATTTCGAGCAAGGCCAGCTACGGGAGGGTATAACCTAAGAACCTCATACAAAATCATGCTCACCTATCACAAAAATGTTCACATAACCAATAAGTATTAAGATTATCAGAAAAACCACCAAGCCAAATATAAAGATAAGCTTTAAATAGAAAACCACAAATGTATTTAAGACAAAGTAATAGTAAAATACTTACGATCTTCAAATTATTTAGGCCATCAAAGTCTGGTTTTTTGTTTCCAAAGATATGCAATACCTCCTCCCTTGCACGTTGTTGCCAATCAGGGTATCTACTCAACAATATCATTGTCCAAACAAGCAAAACTGAAGTGGTCTCTTGTCCTGCAAAGTAGAACAACTTGCATTCTTCGACTACATCATCAAGAGTCATTCCCACATTTTTGTTGTTTTCATTTTCTTCAATTTCTCTGTGATTTGATTCAAGAAGAATACTCAATAAGTCATTGGCAGTAGATTCACCTGTCTTTAGTGCTTTTTCCCTTTTGTTAATTATATCTTTAAGCGAAGATTTTATATCTTTGTCAATTTCATTCATCTTTCTATGGACAATAGCAGGTAGGAACCTACAAGAAAATACGTGGAAATAAAAATCACAAAAATTATAAAGAAAAAAAAATGAATAAGTGTACCATATGTAAAAATTAGTCTTACATCCAAAATGGAATGACAGATTTTGTTACAACTTTCATTAGTAATTCAGCTAACTCTCTTTGAAGTTGAAATATTCTTTTTCCTTCTTCATAACTACTTCCAAATGCTGTTCGAGAAATAGCATCACTAGCCAAATTTTGAAGTGAAGGCCATATGTCTATTTCACATGACCCATCTGAAGACAACATTTTTTTCCATTCGCTAATCATGTCATTGCAACTTGTGAAGAAAGATGGTGTCATGATCTGTGATGTAATCATTAAAAATAACCAAAAGTTTAAACTATGTAGTATGGATAGGGTGCTTTGCATAGTCAACTAACATAAACTTTGTCAAACTTGAATACATTTTGGAGGGAGCAACACAAAATAAAATTGAAAAATACACCCTATTGCATATGTTTATGCGCAATTTTAAAATGCTATTAAAGGAAAACGTTTAGAGATATGAGAAGTTGTAAATAGAAAGATTATTTGTTATTAATTGGTTAACTTATATAAAGAATTTATTTAATTAGATGTAGTTAATCTTTCTAGATGACTGTTATATTTTAATTAGTTAATAGAAATATAACATCTTTAAAATATAGATATTAAAGGAAATATAAAATTAGTCAGAGTCTCTTTTCTTCAGAAAAATGAGTATATCAAACTCTCGTGAAGTGAGGGGAATAGAACAAACTTCAAATCAAATATATTTACCTCAATTGAAAAAGAATTATGTGCATAAATATTCAAGGAAGAACATAAGTATTTTTTTTCTTTTGCTTTAAGGATACCGGTCGTTAATATATCTCTCATGGAATTGGCTAACATACTATCATACAAGTCCTCCATATCAATTATGGACATTATATGTGGGCCTCTTCCTAAAAAAAAAAACATCTATCTTCACTTTTCTTTGATGAATATTGATACATATTTTACATCTGAAAGTTGATCTGAATATTTTTAGCCTTATTTCTAAACCTACCAGTGAAATCTACAGCTCGCCATCTGCATGTTGTTACAAGTTCTTGAGATCAATTATTGCAACCTTACACGCAAGCTAGTGGAATCCATCGTGGAAATACTTTTCCATGTCTTTAATTACTAGTTTGTATTAAGTTTTGTGAGATAGAGAAATAACACAAAAGTGTTGTGTGATAGGATTAATTATGACTTGGTTAGTTTGTTAGAATAAATATCCTACTTTATAGAGCTGTTAGCATAGCACTTGATACATTTTGATTTAGTCTTTATTAGTTTCTATTTTCTAGCTAAGTTTTAGAATAGTCAGTTTGTGTAATCAACTATATATTAGCTTTTCTATTATTCAATAAATCAAGTCAGTTATCAGAGTTTCCTAACAATCTGGTATCTAGAGCTTCATATCGAGAAAAAAAAGGAGAGAGAGTTCGTAAGCAATGGCTGAAGGAAATAATGGTTTTTCTCAACCCTCTATTCCGAAATACGATGGTGATTATGACCACTGGAGCATGGTCATGAAGAATCTACTCCGATCCAAGGAGTACTGGAGTGTTGTGGAATCTGGCTATTCACAACTAGGTGTTGATGAAGTGTTAACAGCATCACAAAAGAAGACACTGGAGGAAGCGCAACTCAAAGATCTAAAGGCGAAGAATTACTTGTTTCAATCTCTTGACAAGTCAATTCTTAAAACAATCACTCAGAAGGAGACATCCAAGCAACTTTAGGATTCCATGAAGATGAAATGTCAAGGGAATGCTCGAGTTCAAAGGGCTCAACTCAACCGCCTTCGCAGAGAGTTTGAGGTCTTAGCTATGAAACAAGGTGAATCAATCAGTGTTTATTTTAGTCGAGTGATGATGATCGCAAATGATATGAGAAATTATGGAGAGGATATGGCTGATATCAAGATTGTAGAGAAGATCTTGAGAACCCTCACTGAAAAATGGAACTATATAGTTTGTTCCATAGAAGAGTCAAAGGACATTGATGAACTCTCTGTTGATGCCTTGCAGAGTTCTCTTCTTGTCCATGAGCAAAAGTTTAAGAAAGATGGAGACGAAGAACATGCTCTCAAGGTGTCCTATGATGAAAGAAATGGTGGAAGAGGACGAGGAAGAAGCACTTCCAAAGGAGGAAGAGGCAGAGGCAGGGGTCGGCAAAGTTACAACAGGGTGACCGTTGAATGCTACACATGCCATCAGCTAGGACACTATCAGTACGAGTGTCCAAATTTAGGGAAGCAAGCAAACTATCTTGAGCTTGAAGAATCAGAAGAGATGCTGCTTATGGCATATGTTGAATCTTCTAGAATTAATCAACAAGATGTGTGGTTTCTGGACACCGGATGCAGCAACCATATGTGCGGTGATTCTTCACTATTCATGGATATGGAGAATGGATTCAAAAGAAATGTCAGATTGGGCAACCATACAACAATTAGTGTTGTTGGAAAAGGAAATGTGAGGTTAGTTTTGGAAGGAGTTTATCACACTGTCAAAGATGTGTTCTACGTGCCAGACTTAAAGAACAATCTTCTTAGCATTGGACAGCTACAAGAGAAAGGTCTTGTTGTTGTGATAAAGGACAATCAATGTCGGATCTACCATCCTACAAAGGGTCTTGTCATTACCAGCAAAATGACAGCCAACAGGATGTTTGTGTTGCTCACTAATACACCTTGTTGCAAGCAGGAAATGAGTGAAAAGTGCTTTCAAGCTGATGTCCAAGATCTAGCTCAACTTTGGCACCGTAGATATGGTCATCTAAGCTATACAGGCTTGAAAACTCTGAAAAACAAGGAAATGGTGAAGGGGCTGCCACATTTTGCTGAAACCAATGTTGTGTGCACTGGTTGTTTAAAAGGGAAGCAACATCGAGAAACTATTCCAAAGAAGGCGATATGGAGAGCTTCAGAAAAACTAGAGTTGATTCATTCTGACATTTGTGGTCCAATCTCTCCTACTTCCAACGGACAAAAAAGGTATCTCATTTGTTTCATTGATGATTTTAGTAGAAAAGCTTGGGTGTATTTTCTTACATATAAGTCCGATGCGTTTAGTGTCTTTAAGCAATTCAGAACCTGTGTAGAGAAAGCATCTGGTTTGTCCATTAAATGCTTAAGAACAGATCGTGGAGGTGAATTTACATCAAATGAGTTCAAAGAATATTGTAGAGAGAATGGCATTAAGAGGCAGTTAACCACAGTTTACACACCTCAGCAAAATGGTGTTGCAGAACGAAGAAACAGAACTGTAATGAATATGGTGAGATGTCTGCTGGCTGAGAAAGATGTGCCGAGAAATTTCTGGCCAGAAGCTGTGAATTGGGCCTTCTATGTTCTAAATAGATGTCCAACATCATCACTCAAGGACATGACCCCTGAAGAAGCTTGGAGTGGGGTGAAACCTTCAGTTGAACACTTCAAAGTGTTTGGTTCTGTAGCTCATGCCCACGTCCCTGATGCTAGACGAACTAAACTGGATGATAAAAGTCGCAGTTATGTTCTGTTTGGGGTGAGTGCAGAATCCAAGGGATATAAACTCTATGATCCTTTGAACAAGAAAGTCATAATCAGTAGGGATGTTGTCTTTGAGGAAGAAAAGAAGTGGAATTGGAATGAAAGTTACCAAGATTTTATTAGACTTGATCTAGAGGTGGGAGAAGAAAATGATGAAAACATCCAACAAAATCATGACACACAAAGCAACGAAGAAGAAGAAAAGGAGATGACAAGTGATGCAATTGAGGATGTTGTACCTAGTGCCAATCCTACAACTTCTAATGCAAGAGAAATCAGAGTTAGAAGAGCACCAATATGGATGAATGATTATGTTATTGGTGAAGATGTTATTGGTGAAGAAGAAGAAGATGGTCAAGTACATTTTGCTTTCTTTGCTAGCTCTGATCCAATCAGTTTCGAAGAGGCAGTGCAAAGTGAAAAATGGAAACAAGCGATGGATGATGAAATAAGTACAATCGAGAAGAACGGGACATGGCAGCTAACTGATTTGCCAAGAGGTGCTAAAACCATAGGAGTCAAATGGGTATACAAGACCAAATTGAATCAGCTGGGAGAAATTGAAAAATATAAAGCTCGCTTAGTGGCGAAAGGATATACTCAGCAACAAGGGGTTGATTATGATGAAGTGTATGCTCTTGTAGCTCGTATGAACACTATACGTATGATCATTGCTCTTGCAGCTCAAAGAAGTTGGATTATTTATCAACTTGATGTGAAATCTGCCTTTCTCCAAGGAGAATTATCGGAAGAGGTCTATGTTGAACAGCCTAAGGGTTATGAGTTGAAGGATGAAGAAAGGAAGGTCTACAAGCTTAACAAAGCTTTATATGGACTCAAGCAAGCACCGCGAGCATGGTTCAGTCGAATAGAGTCATACTTCAAGCAGACAGGATTCGAGAAGGATGCAAGTGAACAAACATTATTTACTAAACTGAATAAACAAGGTAACTTCTTAATTGTTAGCCTATATGTTGATGATTTGATCTATACTGGTAATGATAGTGCTATGATGAGAGAGTTCAAACAGTCCATGATGAAGGAGTTTGACATGTCTGACTTGGAAAGGATGAAATACTTTCTTGGTATAGAAGTATTACAGTTTGATGAAGGGATATTTATCAGCCAAAAGAAGTATGTGAAAGATATGTTGAAGAAATTTGGAATGGAAGCAAGCAATTCTGTGCAGAATCCAATGGTTCCAGGTTTCAAAATTCACAAAGATGAAGATGGTGTGAAAGTGAATAGTTCAGTCTACAAGCAGCTGGTTGGAAGCATGATGTATCTGACAACTACAAGACCTGATGTGATGTATTTAGTTAGCCTCATTAGTAGATACATGTCAAATCCAACTGAGCTTCATCTTATGGCATCTAAAAGGATATTAAGGTATTTACAAGGAACCACTAGCTATGGGATTCTCTATAGGAAGACAGGAAATACAGAGCTGATCGGATTCACCGACAGTGATTATGCTGGAAGTATGGAGGACAGAAAGAGTACATTCGGGTATGCATTTATTCTGAGCAATGCAGCTGTAGCATGGTCTTCAAGGAAACAACCTATTGTCGCACTGAGCACCACAGAAGCAGAATTTGTAGCTGCTGCAGCTTGCACATGTCAAATGATATGGATGAAAAGAGTGTTGAAGAAGCTTGGCTATAATGGCAGTAGCAGTCCCGTTATATTTTGCGACAATAGTTCAACAATTAAGCTATCTAAAAACCCTGTGATGCACGGAAAGAGTAAACACATTGATGTAAGGTTCCACTTCCTGCGTGATATGGTGAATGAAGGAGTTGTACAACTGAAGTTTTGTGGCACTGAATAACAGATAGCAGACATTTTCACTAAGCCTCTCAAGTTGAAGACATTTCAGCATCTTAGGAAGAAACTTGGAGTATGTGATGCACCTAAGTTAAACCAGTATACTGTCTAGTTTAAGGGAGGAAATGATAGGGTTAATTATGACTTGGTTAGTTTGTTAGAATAAATATCCTACTTTATAGGGGAAACTTGGAGTATGTGATGCACCTAAGTTAAACTAGTATACTGTCTAGTTTAAGGGAGGAAATGATAGGGTTAATTATGACTTGGTTAGTTTGTTAGAATAAATATCCTACTTTATAGGGTTGTTAGCATAGCACTTGGATACATTTTGATTTAGTCTTTATTAGTTTCTATTTTCTAGCTAAGTTTTAGAATAGTCAGTTTGTGTAATCAGCTATATATTAACTTTTCTATTATTCAATAAATTAAGTCAGTTATCAGAGTTTCCTAACATTGTGTAGGTATTACGAGAAGCATTCACGTAAGGTCAAGAGCAACACACAAGTGAGAGACACCACATATTTATTCAACAATTATCTACCACTATTAGAGGAATTACAACGAAACACACCGTCTGACCACCATATTATTAGAAAGATTTTAAGTTATCTACTACATACGAATACTCAAGTCTCCACACAAGTGATAGAGACACTACATATTCACCTAAAATCTTTCGGGGGTAAAGCCCTTAGGTGGTCAGTATTAGAGTTTGACCTAACACTACCCTACAAAACCGGTTGGTAAGGTGAGGGGTGTCACTCTATATAAACTATTTCAATGGTCTATCTCCAACCAATGTGGGACTTTATGATCTTCCTAATAGTCAGGATGCGTGTTCCGTTATAGTGCCTGCAACAGCGGCACAAGTGTATAGTGGATGAACTCACACTTGAAGGAAAGATTGTTTTATACAAGTGTGAGTTGAAAGTTCCACATTGTTAAAAAATTGGAGGTTGAACATTTTATAAGTGAGATGACACATACACCTATCATCTTAAAGTTTTGAGTGAATATATAGTGTCTCTCTCACTTGTGTGTTGCTCTTAATCCAATATGAATGCTCCTCATGATGAACCAACATGAATATCATGAGCATTTGATTTGAGTGAATGAACTGACTCACTTGTATAAAAAATTTCTATTGAATTTGGAGATGACTCGTTGAAAAGCGTCAACGGAATTTTCACCACAATTTGATTTCTTCGTGTCCAATTCCCTACTTGTTTGATGAATCACAAGTCTTAGAATGTGTGCATGTTGTTTAAAGACTTAACTCATGGTATCATTTATCCTTACGTACAATTTGTATGTAATAAAAGATGTTGTCATTACCACTAACTCTTCATATGGATTAACTACATAACCTACAAAAAGTGTGGGACGTGTCACAAAAGTTGGCATTTAGAGTGTTTGTGGAGGCTCATCAAGTGGTTGTTGCCCTAATCTCATTATTGAAAACAATGATGGTTGATGCAAACTTCTGAGGATCTCTTTGGACTGTAGGTGCATACACCTAACAAATTCTTGACATAGTGAATTCAAATTTTCCATCGTTCTAATCGTGGCGTCCTGCCAAATATACCTAACTTGTTGTCAAATAAAATTTTATAACACTGATATAATATATTTCTTTATATTAAAATAATTTTAGGGGAATATTAAATTTTAATGTTTTGGCTAAATTCCACCAGTTTCAACAAATTAGCTATTAAAAAAAGTAACAACTAACCTTCAATTTTTCTAAATGGAAAGCAGGGTTGACCAGTCTTCTATGTTTGCTCCATTTTTCTCCCTGATGACTAGCAAGACCACCGGCTAGTAACTTGAAAATTTTATAATTAGTCTTTGGAAATTCAGATATCTTGTTCAATACATCTTTTATTTGCTCAGGTTCTGTGAGAGTCACCCTTGGTTTTGTTCCAAACCAAATAAATGAATTCTTCCCTGCATACAATTACCAGATTGGGAAACGTTTTCTTCAATCTTCATTTTTAGTAATAGCTTTGAAAGTGTTGAGAAAGATATATACATACCATGAAGTTTAACACTCTGTTGGATGTAAGGACTAACACGTGGAATGATATCGTGTGTGAGATTCATGGGTTTGGATTTAGCTTCCTTTTCCATCTTAAAAAGATCCTTAACATCACCAACCAAGATCCTATATGAATTACCATGAAGACCTTGTTCTCTTAACAGCTTCTCCAGCTTCTTTGGCCTAAGCCACAGCCAATTCAACAGCTTCCAAGAACATATCAAACCAAGTATGAATATGAAGAAAATTATGCCTGAAACCCATTCCATTTCTATGAAAGTTTTTGGTGATGGAAAACAAGATAGAGAATGAAACAAAAGGAAGTGAAGGTGCTTACATATTAGTCAATCAGAACCATGTATTTTTATAGAATTTGGGTGGCTAAAACTATGATATCTGGCCCTACTCTCTATGTTATCTTTTTGTTGTTTTCCTTTTGGCTTTGTTGTTTTGTAGCGATTATAAAAGGATTCACGTAGGAAACAATTGTCAAAATAATGAATTTATCTATTGATTTTTTTTCTCATAGAATTGTGATAATAATATTTTATGGTGAACGTTGGCTATCCTATCGCTAGTAGAAAAAATACTTTATAATAAAAATTGTGAAGTCAGTTCACCTGCCACCTGATTTAAAAAGTGATGTGGTGGCAATTTCGTAAATATTTGTAATATTGTTAGGTTAATTACATTTAAAACTGACTTAAAAAAATTAAAGAAAAAAAATATAATTCGTATTAAATTTCTTAAGTCGCCTGAGTTCACTAACTGACTTACAAAACATATTTATTAAGTCAGGTATTGCCCACCTGACCTAAGACGTTTTATTCAAACTCTTCTCTCACTACAAACCCTTCTTCTTCACAACAAACCTTTCATTCAACAAATGAACTCTTTTGTTAAACTCTTCTCACGAACCCAGAAACCCCTTCATGAAACTCGAATCCTTCACATAAAATCCAGAAATCATACACTTCACAGCCGAGAAAATCTCCTTGGACCTAGAACAACCTTCATCCCCACTATTTCTCTCCTTCTTCTCCAAAACCTTCCCCGCTGTCACCATCTTCGAATAACCCTTTCCAACACACCGTTTCCATCTTCGTTCTCTCCTCCTCCAACTCTCCACCTCATCACCCAAATCTTCCCTTCATCAATCCCTTAACCATCACCTGCGACACCCATTCCTTTTCTCTATTTCCTCTCATCTCCTCTACCCTAAAAGTTCCACCTTCCCTCCACCGTGACAACAACCCACGCCTCTCTTCACTTCTCTGTCGAAAATCAACTACCATCAGATTTTCTCCACCAAAACCAAAATCAGAGTAGCCATGTTGCTTCGTCGTTTGTCGTGGACGACAGTTTCCGCTGCCGCACCAATTCCACTGCATTCTTTCATTAAAGTTTTCACTTTCATTCCAAAGCAACTCGCCTTCTCCCCTTTATCCTTCTGCTCCACCTCCGACCTCCATCTCACTCACCATCCAGACAAACATGTAATTTCATTTTCACGCCATTTCTAGGGTTAACTCATTCAATTGTTTTTTTGTTCGCATCATTCACTGAGTTTGAATCTTCATTTGCAGGAACACGAACCGGATAATCGTCGCCCGCAGCATCTGTCACTGTTTGGCATAATTGCAATTTACATTTTCTAATACTCGTTTCTAGATCTTTATATGAGTTATCACAAGTTCAATGAATCACAAAGGGAACCGTTTGTGCTCAGGAGGTTGAAACAAGGTGAGATTGTGGCACTTATAAGTGACGCTGGAACGCCGGGTATAAGTGATCATGCTATGGAGTTGGTAAGTGTGTTTCTATTACTATGTTTGTTTATTCTTATCATCACTTCTATTCTATTTGTTTCATAACTTTATTCATGGTGATAACAATGCAGGCCAAATTATGTGTTAGTGAAAATGTTCCGGTTGTTCCAATCCCAGGTCCTTGTGTTTTGGTATCTGCTCTTTCTGCCTCGGGTTTATCCACAGATGAATTTACATTTGGTAATTAACTGATTGAACTGTATGGTTTGGGTAGATAATGACTATAAACCAAGAACTAAAATGTATAAGCACTTATCTTTGTAGGTGTGTCTTGGAAGTGCTGGGGCTGTAGACAATGAAGGTAAGTCACTATTATCCTTCCTCTCTGTGTTTAAGAAGAATTTTGGAACATGTGTGTTGAACATTAGAAAATTAGCATCTTCTAGGACATGTCTATCTTTCCTCTCTGCCACCCCGTTTTGTCGTGGGGTGACAACACAAGAGCTTCGATGGATGATCACATGGCATTCCAAAGACTCTTCAAGAGATGTTTCAAAATATTCTCTTGCATTATCAGTTTTTAGAACTTGGATTTTGGTTTGAAACTTTGAATCACGGTATTGAAATTTCAAAAAATGTGGCCTAGTTCAGACTTTTCTTTGAGAAGGAACAATCGTGTTGTTCTAGCATTATTATCCACAAATAGTAGAAATGTGAGTGTACTTATAGTCATTGTCTTGTCTATGTAGGTACAGACTTAAACACAAAAAAGTTAACATAAGAGTTGTTAAGCATTGGTGCAGACAGATTTTGGAAGGTCTCCTCTATCTCCATAGCCAGGACCCTCCTATAATCAATAGAGATCTCAAATGTGATAACATTTTCATCAATGGTAACCAAGGAGAAGTCAAAATTGGTGATCTTGGCCTCGCTGCAATTCTCCGCAGATCTAATGTTGTTCACTGTGTTGGTATGTAAACCAAAATGACTTGTTTCCTTTGAATAAGTCGATTATAACAAGCTCTATTCGATTTAATACATTGGATTTTCATGTTTTTCTTCCTTGTTTCACTTCAGGAACACCCAAATTTATGGCTCCGGAAGTGTATGAAGAGCATTACAACGAATTTTGAAGGCCTTCCACATAGTTCATAAAACCTTACTCCCATTCCTTGCGTAGCATAACAGTAGGCAACAATTTTGAAGGAATAGAGTTAGCAAAACTCGGGACATCCAACTCAGCGAGTTACAACAACTGATCTGAATCTACGTTTCTTTCCTTCTTTAAACTTTCATCACATGCATGTATTCAGTTTCTGTGGTATTTGAGTATTTCATGAATCATGATCAAGATGGTTATGTGGAGACGGTTATCACGGTTGATTAGAAGCTTCACGAACATGAGAATGGAAACTAAATGACCAACACCGGGAGAAGGGATAAAAACCACCTCTGCTTTCTTCATCTCGGATCACAGGTTATAAACTTGTGACTTTGTTTATTTTATGCTAGTATATGAACGGGAAACGTAAATCCTAGTTAAATGGATTGAGGAGTAATGCAATTAAAATTTTGGTAATTGAAAATAGTGAGTGTATTGTAGAGAGTGGTTGTCTATGTTTATGCAAGTAGTTTAAGGGCTGAAATTGTTACTTAAGTTCAAACGAACCACTGCAAGCGAGGAATTCCTTCATTCTTTGAATAATTATTGTGCACTTCAGGTAAATACAATCTTATCTTTTTAAAATCACCAACATTCTACTATTTATGCTATTGTTTCCTCAGAGATCATTTTTTGCACTCGGCATAAAATTGTTGGTGCACCGGATGTATTCATATTCATTTGATGATTTCTATGCATGAAGCTCAAAACTATATATATTTTTTATTAAAGTATCACTTACGGAGTGTAACCCTTATTCACCGATCTTAACAACTTTGAGCCTATTTATGACATAAATACTACATTTTCATGTTTATTTTTTCTTTTGTTGTGTGTAGGGTTTTGTGGAGGACAAGTTTGGATTAGGCTTAATTGCTAGGGCAGTTGAAGAAGGGATATCGGTAATCAAACCAAATGTAATTATGATCTTTAATATGGGAGGCCGCCCAGGTCAAGCTGTTTGCAAACGATTGTTTAAGCGTCGGGGTTTTTGCATTACGAAGCTTTGGCAAACTAAAATCATCCAGGCTAGTAATCATATGTTTTACTAATAATATTTCTCCAGTTAAAATGTAGTCTTATTGATTTGTACTGGTACAGGCCGGCGACACAGATATTGTAGCCTTAGTTGAAATTGAGAAGAACAGCCGACACCATTTTTGAGTTCTTTATGGGACTCTCGGGAGAGCAGCCTATCTGTGCACGAACAGCTTGGGCTTATGGAAAGTCTGGGGGCAGAATTTCCCATGCTTTATCAGTTTACAGTTGTCAACTTCGTCAACCTAGCCAAGTGGGGTGCTTCACTAAAATCTGTCAATTCCTTACAATAATATTTGTTGCCCTGAAGAAACTATGAAGCACAATGTAATTTGATACTTGCAGGTTAAAGTTATCTTTGAGTTTCTAAAAAATGGATTTCAAGAGATCAGCAGCTCTCTAGATTTGTCTTTTGAGGATGATTTTGTTGCTGATGAGAAAATTCCTTTCCTTGCTTATCTTGCAAGCATTCTTAAAGATGATTTCTATTTTCCATATGAGCCACCGGCCGGAAGCAAACGCTTCCGCAATCTCATTGTTGGATTTTTGAAGACTTATCATCATGCTCCACGCACTAATGAATGAATAGGGTAGTGGTATATGTGTTTCAAAAATAGTAGAAAAGTTAATATTAAGTAACATAGTTACTTTTGTAATTTCCAAAAATTTTCTTCTGGATATGGGTGGCCCAATGTCATTAGATCAGATCTGTTATTTAGGATTTCTGGTAACAGAGTTACTTTTGCTGTGGCTATTTTTTCTTTGAAATGTAACAGTTCTGACAATACTTTTGTCTTCAATATAAGTTTTTCTTTTGGTTGTATGAATCTATCTTTAACAAATAATGCTCTTTTGTACCACCTGCAACAGGTTGGAGTTGTTTCAGATGAAAAACTATTGGAACTTTTGGTTGTGTGTGTGTGTGTGTATATATATATATATATATATATATATATATATATATATATATATATATATATATATATATATATATATATATATATATATATATATATATATATATATATATATATATATATATATATATATATATATATATATATATATATATATATATATATATATATATATATATATATATATATATGTGTGTGTGTGTGTGTGTGTGTGTGTGTGTGTGTGTGTGTGTGTGTGTGTGTGTGTGTGTGTGTGTGTGTGTGTGTGTGTGTGTGTGTGTGTGTGTGTGTGTGTGTGTGTGTGTGTGTGTGTGTGTGTGTGTGTGTGTGTGTGTGTGTGTGTGTGTGTATATATATTCTATCCCAAAAAAATTGATATTAAAAAAAACAAAACTTGTTAGGTCGGTTAAATATATCTGATTTAAGAAAAGAAGTTCTTAAGTCGGGTAAAAATTGGATAAGGGCTTTCTAAAAACCTAGACTTATTAAGTCAGACGTAATTAAATCGACCTAATAAAATTTTCTTAAGTCAGGTCCAAATCCGACTTAAGAAGTCAAAACTTCTTATGTCGGTAATTCTTAGGTCAGTTTCGGACCCGACTTAAAAATTCATTTTCAACCGACTTAACAAGCCTTTTTTCCACTAGTGCATTACGAATTGAGGTAAAAGTATGGAATATTTTATGCCTCATCCCTATTCCTACTCCTACTACTTTTGATCACTCAAAATATCACAGTTTAAAGAAAGAACATTAATAAGTGACTGGATGACATCAGCTTCAACATGTTTAACAAATTGATAAATACAACATTATCTAAATTCCAAGGTAGCATGAAATCCTACTTGGTAGAGAAAACCAATGATGAGGCAGCAAATTGCATTTGATTGCAAACTTAGAATTTTAAGAAGACCTTCACAAACACCTTTTCTTGTAGTGGATATGTCCATGATTTCCTGCGCATTGAAAATGTGACTTATCACCAACCCAAACATAGATTTCATATTATGCATATCTTTATCACCAACTAAACCAGATTTATCAATAACATGAACATTGAGAAGACTAATGTCAGGGACATATTTTTTAGCAAACAATTTGTATTTAAAATTCAACAACCCAGGAGCAAATCCATCATTCATTACACCGTAATTTAAATAGAGAAAACTAATTGGAAGTTTAACCACAAATTCCTTCACCAACTTAGGATATCAAGATCCTTCATTCATTACTCTCTTCAATGATTGAACATCACTAATAGGCTTCATAATTTCACTATACTTTAATGCTTTAAATAAATTCTTTATCAAAAGACATCCTCCTATTGTAAACAAAATTTCATTTGATTGTAATTTCTTTTGAATGAAAAGGTACAAATGGGGATGTAGCACCCCAAAATTTGTCTTTCTGTTTTAGCAGCATCTGGCTTTGTTTCTTTGCATTTTCGCATTTCTGCATTTGCATAGCATTCGTTCTTGAGACAGGGGATCAAGGTTTTCCCGTGGCTCAGTTTTCATCTCAGTGCATGGACCGAAATCACAAGCATCAGAGTCCTTGGCATTTATTTTGCCTAGCGGTCGGGCGACCGAATTTATTTTATTTTGCAGGGTATTTTCAGCTCAGAAAGCAGCATTCAGGCTATCGCAAGCATTTTCATGGTTATGATATTCAAGAGCAAGTTTCAGAAGCTGAACAGAGCTCAGAACGACTGAAAACGGGCAAATGTGCAGATTTCCCTCCAAAAGGCGTCAAATTCAAAATTTTGAAGGCGTTAATCGATTAACAAAATGTGTTAATCGATTAACTAAACCAAAATCCGTCTAGATTCAAATTTTTAACAGTGTTAATCGATTAACCCAAACTGTTAATCGATTAACCAGTGCAGGTTTTGCCTCTGCACGTGAATTTTCAAAGGGGGTCACTTTGGGGTCCAATTTTGGTCACTTGGAAGTTCAATTTTACACTTGGGAAGGATCTAGAATCCTCTTGAATTTTGGTTAATCTCATTTTCCCTCCAAATGCCCATTCCTCATTCCAAACCAAATTTTCCAAATCTCTCATTTGGATCCAAACCTAAGAGGTATTTAATTGGTTTACTCCAAACCTCACACATCTAATCTTCATTCATTTTCAGAATTCATCTCAATTCTATCAAGTTTCTCTCAACTTTTCATCTTCCAAAACCTCACCAAAGCTCTTCATCTATTGAATTCTTTGATTCTTCATTGGGATCAATGAATTCTTGAGCTAAAACCTTCATCCTTTGTCATCATCATCTCCATCTTTCCATTTGATTTTCATGCAAACTTAGATCTGAATTTTGAAGTGGTGTTGGAAGTGCTTATTTGGAGTAATTTAGCTTAATTTTGGTTGATCATCACTTCTATTACAAGAATTGGCTTGAATCTTGAAGTATTTCAGATTTTTTGTTTAGATCTACACGTTCGAAGTAAATCAACATTAACCGAAGCAATTCTCCGCTTCGAAGGTTGGAATTCTAGATCCATTGCATTTTTGAGCTTATTTTGCATAATCATGTTGATCTTCATTTTTTATTGATTTGATTCATGTTGATTCATGTGAATTGTGATGGTGCTGTTTATATGTGTTTACATCTTGTTTAGATTGTTGTTTGCTGGTTTAATTTCGTGCACAATTGTTTATGAGATCATGTGTATGTTTGCTTAAGTGATAAGTTGTTGAAAAGTGCTTTTCTGTTGTTGTTGGAGTAGTGTTAATCGATTAACCTCTGGTGTTAATCGATTAACCAGATCAAACTTTCAATTTTTCTGTTGTTCACACAGTGTTAATCGATTAATGTAATCTGTTAATCGATTAACGCGTTCAAACTTTCACTTTTTCAACTGTTTTTCAATGGTTAATCGATTAACACCTGCTGTTAATCGATTAACACTGTTCCAGCAGGCCTATTTTTACTGTTTTTCATGCTTGTTTCGGTACCGTTTCACTTCGAATCATCATATATCAGTGTGATGCATTAGGAGTGAGATGTTTTGGATATGTGTCATTGTTCGTGATTGTTTAATCGTGACTTCGTCGACACACGTGCTTGCTTTCCACTTGGATGCATACTCTCAGTATATTTTGTCTAAAGTGATGTGTGTTTTCTTTTGTTTTGCTTGAGCATGAGAATCAAGTGGTCGAGATGCGCTTGTGGCGGCTGCTGCCCCACACTTCTTTTCCTCCCACTTTTCTCCGATGGTTGATGGCCGATGGTCGTAGGAGTTCGCTTCTCCCATCCTTTCTCTTTTGTGCTTGCATGTTCATGATTGTTTGTCTTCTTGCATTTCTTTGCTTTGTGTGCATTCTTTGAGCAGCTCCTTTCTTACATTATTAAAGGTTGAGATGTGCTTGTGGAGGTATTTACCCCACACTTTTTCCTCCCTTTGCTTGTATGTTGCATTGCATATGCATTCTTTCTTCTTGCATGTTATCTTATGCTTTGCTTCTTATTCTTCTTCTTTTCCATGTTCCCTTAGGATCTCTAATCTCTTGAGATTATGATAGACCTTAGGACTTAAACCATGCATGACAATATTAGGTAGCATTCCCTTTTACCTCAACTGTAGGTATACTTTGCATGACAACTTTTAGGTTTGAGTTAGTCTCCCTTTAGTGTGTCCTTTCTCTTCTCATCTTCAAACAATTTCAAAACACTTAATAAAGGTTAATGAATGTTGTACGCTACGAGCCTTAAGCTACTTGGGAAATGGTGATTGGGGGGCTTCCTCTCAATGGCCTAGAGTGTTTAGTGTACACCCGTTGGGTGATATGCGACGTATTCGCTCCTAGGTCATAGTCTTTAGTGCAACATGAATTATAAATAATAATCAATATACTTCTTCTCTAAAAGACTTCAAAAACAAAGTTCAAATCTTTTTATCCTTCGGGATCTTAATTTGGAAAACCTTTTTCATAAGGAGAGTTTCGTTAACTTTTGGTTCTACTGCAAACAGGTAACGCCTAAGTCTCCAATGGTTGAGCTGCATACACCTAACTGCTAGAACTAAGTTTTAACCTTACTAGGATAAAAAACAGTTGAACCAACTTGTGTTCTTGTTAGCCGAACTATGTTTGCTCTGATTTCTTATACCATATGAGAATACGTAGCCATAAGACGCGATGTCTTGGCGAGCAACCTTCCCCACCTTTCATCCGTAGTTAGCCGAAATACGTTGACTCTGACTTTCCCATTGCACGAGGGAATACATAGGCACAGAGCGGTGATGCTCTGTCGAGTCTCTTTTCTTTTCTTTTGTCCCTAGGACCATTAGCGTAGATAGTAAACAACCTTTTAGATAGACAACAAAGCGTGGATCCCGTCGAGTACGACGAACGTGAGGGGTGCTAACACCTTCCCCTTGCGTAACCGACTCCCGAATCCGAGACATGGTTGCGATGACCTGTCTTCTCCCGTTTTCGTCAGGTTTTCTCTGATCGTTTCCTTTCCCTCTTTTGGGATAAATAACGAATAGTGGCGACTCTTCTGTCATTGCCGACACCTTTTTCACAGTAGCGACAGGGGAGTTCTTGGAAAGCTTGTTTTCTTCAATAGACATTTTAACATTTACAATACCCTTTACATCATGCTCATTAATCTTCACATTGTCAAGAATGTCATGCAATATGTGGGTGACAAGTTCCTTGA